CCAAATGATTCAGGAATTTTCACACTACTTCCAATAATATTTGTTTTATTTTGGCTAGGCCAAAAGCAGGTTTAAATATTTCGAAATCTATTTTAAGGTCAATATTATTAGCCCCCTTAAGCAATAAATTTTTTGATTGTCTGCAGAAGAAACTACTGCTATACAACGATTTGCCTAATTACCCTAATTAAGCATTTGAATGTCACTTTTAGCTGAATGCTAGAATCTTGAAGAATATCTAGTCAAATATAATGTGCTGTCATCATGGCAAAGAAAAAAGAAATAAAATAAATCAGTTATTAGAAATAAGGTATAATGATGTCTAAAAATGGGTTGAAAAAAAATCTTTCCATTAAACAGAAATTGGGGGAAAAATATAAAGGGCAGCTATTAATACTGACTTCAACTTATATACAAGTTGAAGTTATATAGTTATTTTCCTACCCAGGGCTCGAAATGAACTTTTTTGCTTGGTAGCACCAGTGCTCCTAACTTTAAAAAGTTAGGCGCATCAGCCAAAATTTAGTCGCACCCACCAATTATGAGCACCGTTACTACAAGTTTTATACAAACATATTTATTGTATTTGAAATCAACACTAATCAAACTAACAAGCAAAAAATAAAAATAAATAAATAAATATTATATATATGCAAGCATGAGGAAAATATGTCTCAACGAAATCCCGTTATCACAAGAAAATACATTTTATAACATAACTGAGTGACCAAAGCACGGAGCGCTCACCGGCCCTGCACACACTGCTTGAATGAATCTGTTAACGGTATAACTGTGCTGTTCTCACAAGTGCTGTCTGATATTGCACTGATGCTTTTGACATATACTGTACCTTATTATATGCATACGTGTTAATAGCAATATCTGTCTTTTTAGGAGTAGCGATGTAAGTTTACTCAGTGCAAGCCCGTTTGCGATAGTGTACGTGGTGTAATTTGACATCTGCCGCTTGCACGGCGGACAGCATCTGGCGATTATATGAAGGATTAAACAGAAGCTCTCGTGCTAGATGTGGCGAACAGTTACCTGAAAACTCCATCCCACTGACTTTTCATGGCGGACTTGAAGCCACTGGAAGTCTTCTACTCTTGAAAAAGTGTAGATGGTGGACTAACATTCAGCACATGATCACTAGTAAGATGTCATTATTTGTAACTTTGGATGTCATGGTTTCTAAAACTAAATCTGTCAGTGTTATCTTCATTCTCATCTTCAGCGCTTTACAGGTTTTCGCGGTAGTAGCTATCTGTCATCCGAAGCCAGAATGCACTGAGTGATTGACAGCTGATATTAACCAATCATTCGCGTTCAGTGCTAGAGCAGTGGTGGGCCAATAAGAAGAGCATGAAGGCGGGGCAAGCATTACGGACTTGGGTTTGTTTACTGCAGCAAGATGACATGACAACTGTTTCAAACCATTCCTGAGCGCTGCGTTTCACGTTTCAAGTGCAGACAAAGAGCTTAGAGATGCATTCTGAGTAAATGTCTCCCGAATCCGCGCATGTGGTGAACATTTTGCAGTAAAAACTGGTCGCACACAACAATTTTTACCACTCGCAGAAATGCTCCCAAATATATTTTGAGGTCGCATAGATGAAATTTCGGGCACATATGCGACCAAAATGGTCACAATTTCGAGCCCTGTTCCTACCTGTAAATAAGGAAAGGGAAATAAACGCAATAGAATAAAAATAAAAGGAAAAAACTGTGCTTTAAGCATCTTCCCTGTAAGAAAAACACTTTAATTATAGCTCCAGCAGTCCTTCAGTCAAGAGCAGTGAGTGATTTTCTCCTTTTGCTGTTTGATTAATGATAAAAACAGTCGGCAGTAGGAATATTGCACGCTGTCTCTTTAAGAGCAGTACGGTTGTGATTTATGTTTTTTTTTCACTTGTCTTTTGATTCTTAACTCATTTGTTTATTACATAAATAAGGGGTTAATATGAATAATCAGTAAAAACTGCATTGACAAATTGGCATGTATATGACCATTAAAGCGCTCAGATTAAGATGACTTTAGTGTGTGCTCTGCTTGTTTATGAGGCTTAGTTCATGCACACAACTGCATGCGACAGGACAGCCCTCATTTACAATATAGTATTTTGGACAATTTTCTTTATTTCATAGATTTGAGTTGACAGTATCACAATACTACTTCACTGTAAACACCAAAAAGTTGAGGTCATGCAAACCATTTGAGGAAACCGATTGCAACAAACCTTTTAAGTTTAAAACTAATCCTAATAAATGCTGTGAACTCGACCCATTTGGGTAAATGAAGCAATTTGAGCACAGTAAAAACCCAATAAACGAAGAGAACTCAAGACAACTGAGTACTGTAAAACCTAATAAGTTAAGGCAACTCAAACCCTTTGAGGAAACAGATTTCAACAAACTATTTGAGCTAAAAAAACTAATCGATGAGTACTTTGAACCTTTAAGTTGAAGTAATGAGGCATTTAACTTATTACCCTCAACATGGAGTTCAAAACTCTTTTCAAATAAGTAGAATTAACGTCCAGGAAATTCAGTGAACTACACTCATTTCATTTGATAAAGTTGACTGTTGGGTTTTACAGGGTTGGTATCACGATACTTCAGCTGATATAGTATCGTAATGTGAATTAATGGTATCGCAACAACCCTACACGATTCTTAAATAAAGAGGGATTTTCTAGATAAGCAAAAATAGTCTTGTTTTCAGAAATAATGAGTCAAAATGACACGCATTATCCTTAAAACAATCAAATTAATCTGCTAATTGTGAAAGCAAAATAATCGTGTTTTTCCTTTTGAGATAAGTTTATTTAGCTTACCCCATTGGCAGATTATTTTGCTTTTTTTACAGAAAAGCTTACTTCATTTTGGCATATTATTTCTTTTTAAAAAGACCCCATTTTTTGCTTGTCTAGAAAAAACTTCTTGATTTAAGAATTTGTTAATATTTGGATTAGAAACAAGACACAAAATCCAAGTAGGAAAAGCATTTTTGGCAGCGTAAATGAACAAATGTGAAATCCCAATTACAGGACATACCTTAGATCACTTGTCACCCAAACCTCCAGAAAACCCAAGTGGAAATCTGGCACAGCCTGACGTTCTCCCTGCTGGCAAAGCTGATCTCCCACCCCTCCTTCCCTGCCACACGGCTTCGCTCCACGTCTCTCTTACTCCACAGGCTATATAAGGAATGTAAAACTACACCAAACTATTTCAGCCCAACACCCACGAGTCACGGAGAGGGGGAGAGAGAGAGAGAGAGAGAAAACATCTACTACCTCACATTCCCTGGCTCTACATGCAACATTTAAAGCCATAAAATGCCAAAAAAAAAGACAGGTTGTAAGGGTGGGCGGCCAAATGAACATTCCTCTCGCATGTGTTTCATTTGTGACAGCTTTGCCCTGTGGTAAAAGTGTAGTTGAGAAGACATTACGCATTCTGAAAAGCCCTTTTTATTGCACTGTGCAAATAACATATGGTCAGTATGACAAAAACACTGCAGGTGTATGTAATATACAACATGTTATTAAAGCCTGTGGTCAAACAATAACTGAGCATGCTTTTTTAAATGTTTATGACCAATCAATTAATATAAAACATATATGATTAGTATAGATCAATTATTTACAATCGCACTTTGTGAATTTAATAACTTTCCCTTTGTTAGTTTGATGTTTCGACCCCACCGGGTGAGTTAGAAACACAATAATATATCTGATGAAGCTGAAAAAGCACATCATTTGGCATGAAAGCACTGGAGTGTTCAAGCAACATGAGCTCATTTCTGACAGTGGGGTTCATGCGAGTGCAGAAATAAATCTGCTTTGTGAAGAACATGCTGCTAAATATTGACCTACAAACTATACGTAAACTCTGTGTAATTTATATGAACCTTAATCACAATCTGTAAGTGCTTTTAACACTGTTAATAACAATAGTGACTCAGGCTACAAATAGTCTTTAAAACTATTTCAGCAGAACAGAGAGCATATATTTAGCCCAGATTAGATTCCAAACCACATTTCAGTGTATTAACCAAGTAAAGCATTACTAAATACAGGTTTTTAAAAAGTAAACAATGCATTAAAGAGCTACTATCAAAAAATATTACGTTTATAATACATTTTCGATATACATTTTCGTTTTAAGTGTAACCATTAATGTTAGTTTTCGTTTATTTCCATATATTACTAAAATACATGCTTTAAAGAAGTAACCAATGAGTTAAACAATTATCAGACAATCTTACACTCCAAAATGTGTTTAAATACACAAATTTAATATAAGGAATTTTGTCTAAAGTTATCATGGCAGCTTTTAAGTCTAACCATTAACGTTAGTTATCGTTAATTTCCATGTATTACTAAATGTTTTAAAAACGTATCCAATGCATTATTAAACTATGATCAGACAATATTACAATCTATAAATACTCACAATTTAAGGAATTTTCGCTGGTATGACAGTTTATAATAACTTGGCATTAACGTTACTTCTCATATATTTCAATGTAATACTAAATTCCAAGCAATTATTATTAAATGTATATATTAACAATAAACCAAAATAAACTATTATAAAACAATATTTAAATATATAATACCATTAAATATACAAATTATATACGATAAGGATTTTTTGCTAGTTTGGCAGCATTTAATAACTTAGCATTAACGTTAGTCCTAATTTATTTCCATGTATTACTAAATTCCATGCAGTTATTAGTGAATACATGTTTTAAAAAAGTAACCAATGCATTAATAAACTATTATCAGACAATATTATAATCTATAATACCTTTAAATACACTCAGCTTGAAAACGGTGAGGAATTTTCGCTAGCATAGCAGCTTTTGACAGTTAGCATTAACGTTATTTGCGGTATATTTGAATTCTGTGCAAGTTAAACGCGACGGGCTCCTTTAAAGCCCACTTTCTACCGGTTTTCCCATAAATAAGTTTGTTAAGCAGCGGATTTACCTCCTTCTGGTCGGCAGACATCTCAGCCTTGTGTCTTCTGTCTGTGACGGACTGTGAGAAACAGAGATTAAGCCAAACTTCAAAAAGTTTGTGGATTTGGGCGTCAGGTCGCAAGAAGCCGCAGGTTTTCCCTGTTGGATTTTCTTTTAGTAGGACTCTGGCTGTACGTCACGCGTCACGTGGGTGCCTGACGCACGCGCTCGGTGGGCGCGCCACCTTGCCAGACACATAATTATGTATTTAACCCCCGAAAAGCTAAAAATAATGTATTAAACCCTCCTGTTATTTAATAATTCTGTAAACACTGTTGTGTCAAAAAGTAAACCGCTTTCGCTAAACCTCTAAAATAAAGTATTATATTTAATTTTAACTCACTGTGCATGAAGAAACAAGAAGAAACTCAGTAAATATGCAGGTTTTCCCTCATTAGTGTGCAGTATTTCATAGGTGTTTACTCAGTGGACAACCCTCGTTTCTTACAGTAAAGGGTGTGTTTTATTATGCTAAAAGTACCTGCAGAAGTGTTTTAGCAAAAGAGTAGACATTAAATTTAAAGGGCGCCTATTTTACAGCCTTTACCTCAAGATTTATTATGAGTGTTTAGTGTCTTCAGAATGTGTCTGTAAAGTTTCAGCTCAAAACACCCATCAGATTATTTATTATAGCTTTCAGAATGTTGGATATTTCAGCTCTTAACACACTGTAGCTGTTGTTGCCAAAGCTTGCAGGATTATGAAGTTCAGTCTTCACTTCTGTTTATTCACTGCTCAAGTTAAAGAGACTAGAAATACCAAAGAGGAAGAATACCAAAACACATTTTTTAAGATGCTGACAGTCATAAATGGAGCTTACGCTGCTAAAAACACTATTAGCACCAACCCGGGCTCATTCTGGAAACGTAGTCCCACGGACGTTTCTGGAGACAGCGGAATACGTCCCGGTGGGTACGTACGGCTGCAGTTTTTGTTTTTGCGAATCTGCGAGAAGCCGCTGTTGTGCGCTTTTTCGCATCTCAGACGCCTCTCGCGAGCAAAGTTCATGCCCGCGCTGTTCTCACGTGAACCCACCAGAGGCCGCTGTCTGACTGACCGGATGATTGACTGCGTGACCGGCCAATCGGCCGACCCGCCCTCCTCCTTCCCTGAACCCAATCAATTTTACCGATTGACCCGCCTGCCCGCTCGCTTCCCTAAACCCGAGCAACAGTTTACAAAAGACGTTCGAAAAAAGAAAAGCCCTGATTTTTTTTTTTCTACTGCCTTTTCGGATTTCACCGCGTTCTCACCCTGTTACAAATCTTGTTCACTTAATTTTTGAGATTTTGTTTTTGTCTAACCTGATTTCTGGAACCGCTCTTCCCCAAACTCGAAACCGGTCGCCGTGGTCAACTCCTTTCTGCATCTCAAGCCTGCCGACGTACACGGTGAGCTGAGTGGACAAACGGGTTGCAGCGGGAAAGCCCTCCACAAGGAGGTAAGCGGCCGGCCGGCTGGCAAGCGAGATGGGGAACAGCGTCACACCGCCCCGCAGCGTTGCTTGAAAAAAAATAAATGCAGGCGTACGTACCTCCCGAGACGTATTCTGCTGTCTCCAGAAACGTCCGCGGGACTACGCTTCCAAAACGAGCTTGAGTTGATTAGCACACATATGTTTAGCTAAAAAGACAAAATTGGTTGTTTGTGCGTTGTTTTGTGCAAATTCACTCTTCTGGTTTGAAAATAAATTTAGAAGCTGCCTACCAGCGATTAGATCATTGTGTAAATTCCAGCGTGAAGACTGGATGTCTGTACCGGCGGGTACAACGTGACGTCTTTGAGCTTTCGGTGTTAATCCATGAGGAAGACTTGGTCCGAACCAATAAGCGTGCTCCATTGTAAATGAGGTGCAACCAGTGGTGTAAAGTAACTAATTACAAATACTCAAGTAACTGTGAGTAGTTTTTCTCAGAAATTGTAATTTAGTAAGTAGTTTTAAAAATGTTTATGTAACGGAGGCCAGCTAGTGTGTGCTGTCCAGGTAAACCTCACTTCTCTGACGTCTAAAGGTGCTCTAGCGACAGACACTAGAGGCCATGGTCTTTAGCCTCCTTGCTAGAGCAACTGACTTCCATGCGGAAGGTAACCAGATCGAAACCAGTTCAGAGCAGATTAGATGTCATACTACCAGTGGGTTAACAAGTACCTTTAATTTTCCTTGAATACATTTTTAGTGCCGTATCTGTCCTTTTACTCCACTACCTTCCTTCAACCTGCAGTTGCTTCTTTATTTTTTCTTGTTTATGGGAATTAGAATAATCAGTCCTGTAATTTCTGTCCAATCAAATCACACATAGAAGGTAAATCGCATCATAATGAACTACTTCAAGACATGTGCACTTTACATTGCAGCAATTTGTTTGGAAGTATTAAGTGTCCAAGAAGATGTCCAAAATCTTTACATGCATTGACCCAGAGACTGTTTAGATCAGGGATGTCCAAGGCTATTTCTCAATTCCAGGATCGCAGAGAACGGACTTGCGTTCTTGTGGAGGCCGGTCTTGCCAGGTGTCCTCGGAAGAACGAACTCAGGAGACCGCGAGGGCAGAGAACGCGTCTTTTGATAAATGAGATCCTGCATTCTTCCTGATGGTCACATGATCTTCAAGCGTTTTAAATGGTAAATTATTTAAACATTACAGCCTTCATACAACGATTTATTGTTTTCCCCCTTTTTAAAATATAAATTTTGCATGAAAACATTATCAATATACTCTGCACAATATAAATAAAACAGACTTTAATATGAATTTTAGCAAACAAACACCCTTAATGTGTTTATTCCTTTATTAAGATGTCCATGCTAATGTTTACTTTCACCGTTTCATTTAGGGAAAGTCCAGAGGCAAATAATTTATATCTCTGAACTTTAATAATAAATCTAGATAAAATGCTGCGCTTCCCACCTCCAGTCGCAATGACTTCTGGGACTTCCAGAGCGAGTTCGATGCTCAACCCTGCTGAAAAATCCACCTTAAACCAGCCTAGGCTGGTTGGCTGGTTTTAGCTGGTCGACCAGGCTGGTTTTAGAGGGGTTTTGGCCACTTCCATGCTGGTTTCCAGCCATTTCCAGTCTGGTCTTAGCTGGTTAGGCTGGAAGATGACCAGCTAAAACCAGCTTGACCAGCCTAGCCAAGCTGGGAGTCCAGCCAAAACCAGCTATATCCAGCTTAAACCAGGCTGGTCAAGCTGGTTTTAGCTGGATTAAGCTGGTCATTTTTCAGCCTGACCAGCTAAGACCAGGCTGTAAATGGCTGAAAACCAGCCTGGAAATGGCCAACACCCCTCTAAAACCAGGCTGGTCAACCAACTAAAACCAGCCAACCAGCCTAGGCTGGTTTAAGGTGGATTTTTCAGCAGGGAAGTCTGCCTCGATGCATCCTCGATATCAAATCACATCGGGAAGTTTCACTCATCCTCTGTTCTTGCGGTCTTGAGTATTGGAATTGAACTTTGGCAGTTGATGATGACGTTACACGAGAGCACGAGGACGCAAGACCGCTGAAGAACGCATATTGAGAAACAGCCACAGTCCTGGAGGGCCGATGTCCTGCAGATCTTAGCTCCAACTTGCTTCAACACACCTGCACGGATGTTTATAGACAGCCTAGTATGAGATTGATTAGCTGGCCCAGGTGCGTCTAATTGGGATTGGAACAAAACTTTGCAGGACACCAGCCCTCCAGGACTGAGTATGGGCACCCCTGATTTAGATGCATGTCCGTGATGAGAAGTTTTTAATGTATGATGACCGAAATGGCCTTAAACACCCAGCAGGCACAAGATGTCAACATGCCGTCAGATTGAAATTGTACCCTAACGTCGTGGAGACGCTGCATTTTGTTTGGAAATGAAAATCGGGTTTACATCAGAACTCAACGTCAGCCTGATGTCAATGTCCAACGTCCAACCTCAAACCAACCAAATATCAACGTCTAATGATGTTACAGCTTGACGTTGTGTCGACGTTACCACTATGACGTCTATCAGACGTTGAATTTTGGTTGCCATAACTGATGAATAAATGTCAGTATTTGACGTCAATAGGATGTTGATTTAAGATGTCGGCTCGACATTGGATTTTGGTCACTTTCTAACAACCTAAAATCAACCAAATATCAACGTCATTTGATGTCATTATTGGACATGAAAATAATGTCCTTAGACGCTGGCTAGACATAGAATTTTGGTCACCTGACATCACAACCTAAATCCAACCTATTAACGTCTTATAACGTTGTGTGCCTGCTGGGCAATAAATATATGCACTACAGAATGTTACGTTTACACACATCCATGAATTACATGTAAATGCATCAACTTTTAACAGCGTAATACTCACTTTTAAAAGGGCAACTGTTTACTCCTACTTTGAGTAATATTTACAACAGGTACTTTTACTCTACTCACACTACATTTTTAGGCAAGTAATGGTACTTTTACTTAAGTATGCTTTTTTTTTACTTAAGTATTAGTTGAGTATGCTTTTTACATACTCTTTCCACCACTGGGTGCAACTTCCTTAATATGCACAATATTGCTTCGAAGATTATTACCTGTTATGCTGTGTTCACACCAGACGCGGAATGCAAATTTAACCTTATTTATATAGCACATTTAAATTCAACTTCAGTTGGCTTAAGTGCTATACGGAGTTAAAAAAGAGACATGAAAAACATTAATAATACAGATTAAGCAAAGCAAAACAATTAATAAATAAAAATCCTCATGCATTAATTTTCCTTCGGTCCCTTAATTTATTAGGGGTCGCCACAGCGGAATGAACCGCCAACGTATCCAGCATATATTTATTATGCAGAGAATGCCCTTCCAGCTGCAACCCGGTACTGGAAAAACAACCATACACACTCATTCACACCCACACACACACACTCATACACTATACGGCCAGTTTAGTTAATAAATTCCCCAATAGTGCATGTGTTTAGACTGTGGGGGAAGCTGGAGCACTCAGAGGAGACCCACGGCAACATGGGGAGAACATGCAAACTCCACACAGAAATGCCAACTGGCCCAGCCAGGACTCAAACCAGCGGCCTTCTTCCTATGAGGCCACAGTGCTAACCACTGAACCAC